CAATTGTTATCATTTACTCACCCTCATGTCATTCCAAACCCACAAGACTTTGGTTTATCTCGAGAGGGTTCGGTCCAATCTTTGAAAGTCCAGGTAACCAAAACAGGAAGACCCGAAAAGAACAATGTGTTGTAAAATGAACCACATAAAATGGTTTAATCCAAGTCTTGTGAAGAGTTACGATGTGTGTTTATGTGAATAAATGTCCTAATAAAATCATTCATATACAACTGACTATACATGTACAACAACAACATATACACCATGGCCTTTTTGGATCTAAGTTTTGGTTACCTGGATTTTCAAGGGGGGAGACAGAAACTTCAAGTTTCATTTAATGTCTTGTGTTTCAAACATTAATCAGAGTGAGGGTGAGTAAACTACAATTTTCATATTTGTGACCCTGGACCACAAAACCAGTCTGAAGTCACACAGGTAGGCTTATATTTGTAGCAATAGCCAACAACACACTGTATGGGTCAAAATTATCGATTTTTCTTTTATGCCAAAAATGATTAGGATATTAAGTAAAGATCATGTTCCATGGAGATATTTTATAAATTTCCTACCGTAAATATATCAAAGCTAAATTTTTGATTAGTAATATGCATTGCTAGGTGATTATCAAGATTTTCTTTTCTTTTTTTTTATTCTAACAAACCATACATCAATGGAAAGTTTATTTATTCAGCTTTCAGATTTTCTCAGATGTAAATATTAGTGCTGTTAAACGATTAAATCGCATCCAAAATAAGTTTTTGTTTACATAATATACGAATGTGTACTAATATATATATATATATAAAAGATATAATATAAATATATACACATGTAAAAAAAAATCTAAATAAATATATACTATGTGTGTGTATTTATATATACATAAATAAACAGTACACGCATACATTATGAAAAAGAAAACTTTTTTGGATGCGAATAATCGCGATTAATCGTTTGACATCACTAGTAAATATCAATTTCAAAAAAATTGACCCTTATGACTGGTTTTGTAGTCCAGGGTTGCATTTGGGTGAACTAACCGTTTAAAAAACTAGCAATAATGTGGCATCAACCTTACCTTCAACTCCTCCAGGGTGAACCCGCGTCCGGCACGGACCTTGGTGTGATAGCGGATGGTTGGACACCTGACCGCTGGCCGAAGAGGTCCAGCAACCGGTCTTGGAGCGATGCGACGGGCCTTTGCCTGACGGGCCTTTCGTCTGAGGAAAAAAAAACCAGATGCATTTTAATAAAGTGATGCTTTCCATGAACTATTAAAATCCATTTGTCAGTACAGACTTAGTGTTACCTGCGGATCTTTCTGGCAGGCTGGTTGAACCAGGTGCGCACTCTCTTCTGCCAGTCTTTATGAAAGTGAGGGTTCAAGATCATGCCATTCCGGCTGGGAGCCATGATTGTTCACTCCTAATGTAAAATAAACGTTACAGCAATAAGCAGACAGTTCCCTGCTCCACGTTCACATACAGTTCAACTAGCATTAACTGAAGCTTTGCACGGTCGTTTATAGTTTTATAAAGAATTGCACGCTCATGAAAGCTATTAAAACACTTTTGCAATTATTTTTTATTTTTGTACCCGTCCAAACACTCCATATGAGCTCCGCTATCGCCTGACGTGGTGTCATGCTTGTGGTTTAAGGCGCTGAGAGCAACAACTCAGTATAAGACGGCAGTAAACGCGCGTGAGGAAGCCTTCAGCTGATTGTGTTTTATTTAGGTTTCCAAACACTTGACTGGTTCACGAGCGGCTGTTTAAATCTCAAACTGATATTCAAACAAGCGCACGGGAGTATGGAGAATGCGACAGAGTACTGTGTACTAAAATGACCCTTTTTTAATCTCTCAATAATGTAGAATACTGGCAATAGAGCCAAGTTTGCACATGAAACAAATTACACTTTAAGATTGGACTACTTAAATTATCATATGATAAACAGTTAATAAGGATTAATGCGGATAAACTTGATGTTTAGCCGGAATTAATACACATACCGTATGTAGCGGAAAATGGCTGAAAAGGAAAGGAAATGACAACGCGGGGTTTTATGGGAAGTGAAGAAAAGAGCCAATAGCAACGAATGATGTGCCCGTCTACCGGAAGTGTGAAGCCGGTTTTGTTGTGACAAATCAGCACGTGGATGGACGTAGATTAAAAGTTCGACAACTAATAGTTTACTACTACTAATACTAATAATAATTATTATTATTCAATTAATAGTTAATAAAGTGAATGTAAAGGAGAATGTTGTTAATTTAACGCGGTAAACGCAAAAAATGCATACGTAGATACGTGCATGCAAATAAAAGAAAAAAAATCGAATATTTTCATTAACGCACATATAAATTTACATAATGGAACATAAATTAAATTAACATAATCGAAATTAAAATCAAGAATGAATGAGTTGCTGAGTGAATTAAACGATCACACTCCATCATACTAAATAAATTATAAACCACCTTAATGCTAATTATTATTCAATTAATAGTTAATAAAGTGAATGTAAAGGAGAATGTTGTTAATTTAACGCGGCAAACGCAAAAAATGCATACGTAGATACGTGCATGCAAATAAAAGGAAAAAAATCGAATATTTTCATTAACGCACATATAAATTTACATAATGGAACATAAATTAAATTAACATAATCGAAATTAAAATCAAGAATGAATGAGTTGCTGAGTGAATTAAACGATCACACTCCATCATACTAAATAAATTATAAACCACCTTAATGCTTTTACATTGTATTAAGTAAAATGCTTTCCATTTAGTAACATTAGCTTTGAACATAAGGAAAACTTATATCACTGTAGAAAAATAAAAATGTATGTACACGGAATTTGAGTCAAATCTGTTCTAAATAGGCCTACTTTAGAACTGAGCGTAACTAGAAAACTGTAGCCTATGTTTTTATTCTGACGACGTGTTCAGACACTTTTGAAATCCTCTAATATTTCTATGGGATTTGGGAAACTTAAACACTCTTGAAATGGTTGTCTGTAGTCTAATAAGAGAATTTTAAAAGGTGTGATTTAAAATCGATCAGGGGGGTTGTAAGGCGTCCTTACATACAAAACGTGGTATATCTCTGGAGTAAGCATGGCTTTGCATCCTAAAGAACAACAATTCTCTAAATGAAAAACCTGTTAGAGGTGCATAGGTTCTTTCTTATTTTGACGGATTTATTCTGTATGTAGAGTGCTTTCTACATGAGTTTTAACCAAAAACACATATTCATATGTGAAATCCTTAAAGGCATGTGTGGTCATTCTTATGTAATATTTGTAAACTTGTATGGTAAAACAAAAGGCTTATATAATTATACATCTATTTGCCTTTTACACTTATGTAATGAATGTCATTCACCAGATAAGATCAAGATAAGATCAGCCATATTTGATTTGCTGGCTGCATCTCATTACATAAAATCTTAGAATAGATAACTACCAATCAGTTTTAAAAATGTATAAAACAAGTACAGCTATAATCTGTATATAGTTACCAAAATAAGTTAACATTATAAACATCTAAATAAATGTCCTTTTGGCCAAGGAGTTACCGTTTCCTAACAAATGCAAGGTATCAAAGGAATCTGCTGTGAAGTCTTTTACACAGGTTTCAGTTTTTTTTTCAGGTAGAAAAAGATACTATGCTCACCCTTCATTAATCATTGATCTCTGAAACACAGAAACTCACCAGTCTTTTAATCTCAGGGCAAAGGTCAAGGTGTGCTGGGCTGGGAGGTGCTCTTGGTTCCCTTCTTCTCTCTACTACACCAATCTCAGCATCAAGAGAGAGAGAACTAGCTCTTAAAACAAACAGTACAGTACAAAAATAAATAAATGCCTCACATATTTGTGCAATTTGCTTGCAAACAAAAATATCTGAAATAAGCAATGGTGCATTTCTTGATAATGTACACTACTGTTCAAAATGGGGTCAGGTGTATGTATTTATTTTTTTTAAAGAAATTAATACTTTTATTTAGCATAAAGACATACAATTACAATAAAAATATTACTTTAAAAAGATTTCTATTTTAAACGAATGCGGTTCTTTTGAACTGTCTATTCATCAAAGAATCCAGAAAAATATCATAATAATAATAAATAATTCCTAAACAGCACATTTGCATATTAGAATGATTTCTGAAGGATCATGTCACACTGAAGTCTGGAGTAATGATACTGAAAATTAAGCTTTGCATCACAGGAATGAATTACATTTTAAAATATCAAAATATAAAACAGTTATTTTAAATTGGAACTTTGCTGCCGTACCATGGGTGCAGCAGGCGCAATGATATTACGCAGCGCCTGAAAATAGTCCCCAGCTAGGTAACTTCCAACGGAAGGCACGCTCCCTGTGCAAGCAGGTGATCACGTTGGTTATGTTGACGGAAGCTAGCCTATTTTCAGGCGCTGCGTAATATCACCCATGGTACGGCAGCAAAGTTCCTTGATTATTACGCCGGAATGAGAGTATAGTTCCTAGCCATATCGGCCTAGAAAATCGCAACTTTTCATTTTCCGTCGGTCCTAGTTCACGATGCAACTACAGTAGAGACAAGTTTTAAATAGGAAAAATATAGAAACTCTTTGGTAATTTTTGAGCGAGATGCTAACGGTCTAATCAGATTCAATAATCTATGGTGCTACCGCCAGACCCGGAGATCGGCTGAATGTATTCGAAAACGGTAAAACTCAACTGTTTAACTCTAGGGGAGTTGGAAAATGAGCCTATTTTCAAAAATAGTGGAGTGTTCCTTTAAGTTATAAGAACAATACGTTACTGGTGTCATAAGACAATTTGAAAATCTGAAAGGATCAAATTTGAACATACCAGAATGTTGCAGCAGAACACAGAACAGGCAAACTGGCTCACAATGTTCGCATTTTTCGCATTTGGCTCCCAAACTCTGGAATAGCCTTCCTGATAACGTTCGGGGTTCAGACACACTTAAACTTGAATTGAACTTGAATGTTACATTTTCAATTTTATTGCATGTCATGTTACGTCAACGTCACACACATAATATTGACAAATATACTATTTAAGACAATCAGCAGAACCAGCCCTCTCTTTGTTTGAGCCCATGTAAAGCACCTCAAACTGTTTCCAAAAGCCCTCGAAATATTTGGCTTTTGACTCCAAAATACACAAGTTTGTTAAACTAGCACATTACAAAAGATTATTTTGGTGGAAAAGAAAATTACAAAATCAAAATAAATAGATTTCAAAGAATTGTATTAGTACTAATTCTACCACCGGCATTCTAGAGTAGCCATTGGGAATCCTTAAAGGCTCTGAATGATCAATAATAACAAATAACGAAGGTCTGAACACCTTTATGAATCAAGGGATTTGATTAATTTTTCATAAGCAGCTTCCTCCAGGAGTTCATCAAGTTCTGCAGGTTTCTCTATGGTCATCTTAATCAACCATCCTTGAGGAGGGAGAAAGGAATGTTTGTATATTACACATCCACGTACAGTATTATGTGATTTCAGTTTAATAAGAGACAAACAGCTGCACTCACCGTCTTCATAGCAGGCTTTATTTACTAGTCCCGGGTTATCTGCCAGATTTGTGTTGATTTCGGTCACCTCTCCAGTCAGTGGAGAATACAACTCACTAGCAGCTTTGACGCTTTCTAAAGCACCGAACTCCTCTGAAAAAGAAATGCATGTCATGTTGTCTGTGCTACAGCAGGACAAAGGCACAAGACGGGGATTTCAGATTCTTCTCACCCATTTGTTCAAGCTTTGTTCCCACTTCTGGAAGCCCACAGTATACCACATCACCTAACGCTTCCTATGGTGATAGAACAGAGACCATTTTAAACTAAACTTGAAAACTGCATAAAAAGAAAATATTGCAATAACAATATAACTTTTAAAGTTAACATCAAATTCAAATGGACCCCTCCCCCTTTACTTTTTTTGCATGTTATTCCAAAGACGCAATTTTTTAAGAATTGCAAGAAACTCATAAATATGACTTTTTCTCTGGCAATTCTGAATTTACATCTCACAATTCAGACTTTTTTCCTCAGAATTCTGTTTTCCCCCCATCACAGAGTAAGTAGTAAAAAGTATAATAAAAGATAAAACATTTGAAACTGAATTGACATCATCTATAAACACTTATTTCTTTCTAAAGAGGAGCACACCTGAGCAAAGTTGCTGATGCCAACCGTGCCCACAGTCCCTTCCACTCTCACCCATTCGTGTTTGTCTGTAAACTTCAGAGCTGGAAAAACACAAGAGAATATAAATAATAATAAGATCAAGATAAACAGAACCATTCATTATAGTAATACATCTCCCAAAACAACAAAAAGTGTGCTGTCAATTACTCTCTCACATAGTGTTATTTTAGCAGGGCTCGCAAAGTTTCAAAATCGCTGGTAGCCCTTCATGCAGACATTCTTCAGATTTTGGTAGCCCAAAATGAATTTAAGTAGCCCGAATAAAAAAAAAAGACATCGTCTGTACTTCTCTGCGGACAAATCAGCATTATTAAAAACTAGTAGCATATAGGGATGTAACGATTCACTCAGCTCACGATGCGATTCACGATACTGATTTCACAACACAATTTTCTCACAATTTTTCTTTTTAACAAAATGAGATTTAAGTCAAATTATAAATGAAAAGGTGTCCTTTTATTATTTCTCCAACAAAATGCTGCACATTTCTTTGTGAAATTGAAATATGTCAAATAATAAAACTAACTTGAAATTTTTAAACAAATCCCAAATCAAATAATTAAATATTACAAATAAAATAAATCTCTTCATATAAACAAACTAAGGCTTTGGCTGTGCTTTTTCCATTTAAAATCAGAGGCAACCACTGCATTTTATCATGATCCAAACAAAGATGTTAAACATGTTATTTAGATTGCAATTAAGATTGTATAATTTCTAAATTTGAAGTAAAAACAGAATGGTTTGATTTTAGCTTTGTGAATGTTGAGACGCAGATGTCACTCTCTGACAGCAGGTGGCGCTTATGGAACAGCTGGTATTTATAGGCTACTGCCCCTTTAAGACCGAATGCACGGATCCAATATAATAATG